TCTCTCTCTCTCTCTCTGTTTTAATACCAGGAATTGAACTCAGGGCACTTGACCACTGAGCCACATCCCCAGCCCTATTTTATATTTTAGAGACAGGGACTCACTAGGTTGCTTAGTGTCTTGCCCTTGCTGAGACTAGCTTTGAACTCTCAATCCTTCTTTGTCAGCCTCCCAAGCCACTGGGATTACAGGCATGAGCCACCACGCCCAGCGCAAAACTGTGTCCTTCTTCCATAGTTGCAGAGTTTTATCTGGGTATGTGGCCATTCATATTCCAACCTCTATTTCTACTAATTGGCTAAGTTTTTGTAAAGAAATATAAGTGATGTGTGCATCTATCATGTTACTCTGGAAAAAGATGCCTTCTGCTGCCACTTTTTCCCTCTTCCACTATGTGGAAATGCTAACATGCCAACAGCCCAGCTATGATCATGAGGTCAAAGGAAAAATATCTAAGGAATGAAAGAATTTTTAAAAAATGGTTTCTGGGGTCTAAATCAGATTCATAGAGCAAAGACATACCACCTGCCTGGACTGCTCATTTCTGGACTGACAGGGCTATCAATGTCAGCCACGGTATAGTCAAGCCTCTGCTTTATCAGTTCAGCCTGAGCCCAACCTGACTAGTACATAGGTCCTCACAATCTCCTCCTTCCTCTGCCCTATAGGGGCACCTCTTTATTCCTTGCAGGGTGGCTGTCTCCCTGCTCTCACATATGTCTATGTCCTTTCTGCCCTGGCCTCCTTTCGCATGTTCCTCCCAGCATGGTGGAGCTCAAGGTGCTTGTTGCCAGTTCCTGTCCATTAAGGCTCCACCCCCAAGGACCAGCTTCTGTTCCCCTCAAGTAGCAGAGCAGATTTCACCACGTGAAGGGAACTTAGAGAACTTAAAGCCAGCCAGGCACGGTGACGCACGCCTGTAATCCCAGCGGCTGAGACAGGAGGATCGCAAGTTCAAAGACAGCCTCAGCAAAAGCGAGAGCCTGTCTCTAAATAAAATATAAAATAGGTCTGGGCATGTGGCTTAGTGCTCAAGTATCCCAGAGTTCAATCCCCTGTACCCAACCCAATAAAGGAACTTAAAGCCCATTCCAACCTTGGGTAATTACTAGAATGTCTGCAAGCACAGGAACCAAGAACAAGTGACAGTTTTCATAATCCAGGGGTATGCCTCTTGCTCATTGAATTTGCAGTGCTTTTGCCACCACAAGGAGCAAATTAGATCTGAGAGAATCAGAATCACGACATTCAGAGCTATCAACTGTACGTGGACTGTGGAGATGGCAAATGGCACTACTAAATTTACAGGCAAAATCTCCAAGGCTCTGGGTAGATTTGTGAAGGTCCCTGTGTCCTAACGATAACTAATATTACCCTGTAGTTCACCTGAGCCAGCACCTGAGCTCTCCACTCGCTGTTTATTCATTCTGCAAACACATTGCAGTGTCTGTTATGAATCAGATTGCGCTGGGTTCTGGGGAGGTGTGAAAAAGACAGACGTGGTCCCTGGCTCCCTGGGTTTACAACACAGTGTGCAGACATGCTGGAAAGTGATCAGATGGCTGATGGGTGCTGTAATAGGTGGAGTGTCCTGAGAGCACACACGAGTCTCCTTTGTTTCCAGAACATCAGCAATGGGACCTGTATGCTCCAGGAGAAAGATTCGAGGATTCTTCTCAGGAGAAACCCATCTACTTCCAAGTACAGAGAACCCCCTAGTGAGAATGTTAGCAGTACAGCAAAAGAGCTGCCCCTCACTCACACTCAGAGCTTCCTACCAACTTGTGCCTCATTCTAAAATCTGAAGAGAATATACAGGATTACCAAACATAGGAGAATGGACTCCAAAAAAGACGCACAGGACCCTGGGTTCAATCCCCAAGGCTACAAAAAAATTTAAAAAATAATAAACAGAGGGACTCCCAAAGAAACAAGGTGTCTTAGCACAACCATGTCGTGAGGCTATAACACAATGCCACAGATTGGGTAGCTTATAATGAACAGAAATGTATTAATTCATGGCTCTCGGGGCAGAGACCTACAAGACCAAGGTATTAGTTTTTGGCAAGGGCCTTCTTGGTGTGTCACCTCATGGCAGAAGAGCAAAGAGAGGGAGAGAGTAAGCAAGAGCTCAAACTTCCAGCCTCAAGCAGTTTTATAATCAGCATGAGTCCATTCCTGAGGATGGGGCACTCATGATTGAAATTCTTCCCCATCAGGGCCTCAACTCTCAACACTGTTGCTCTGAGGATTAAATTTCCAACACATGATTTTTAGGGAAACATTCAAACCACAGGCAACACAGAATCTAGGAAAAAACAAACTT